CCTAAAGTAGGCTTGCGTGCCGTGAAGGATGAATTCAACAATAGCAACCAATGGAAGTACCCGAACTCCTCGCATTACCCAGTTGTACACCTCTGCCAAATTGGTTGTCATTATGCCATACCGAGATCCATCGGTGTCGAACAATAGAGACCACTTCTCCTTAGGCTCATTCTCAATCCACTGAGTGAAATTTCTGATGGACGACCCTGACCTCCTGCTCATTGTTGGTGGGTCATCATGTAATGCACCAAGAGGTATGGGAGGCTCGTCACCTTCAACTTGTGGTCTGCGAGATTGCTCATCTGTTTGCTTCGTTGTCAACTCATCCAACTTGTCCCACAACTCATTAAATTTCTTCTCTTGGTTCTGTGCACAGAGCCTCTTAAAGAGCTCCATAAGATGCTTGTTCTTGAATTGCTTGTAGAAATTTGCACCCATGTGACGCATGCACCACCGACTCCGAACATCAGGCCACTTAGCTGGAAGTCCCTTCTCATCCCAACCGTTCTGCAAGTAGTCAATAGCCCGCAACATACCCGCATGACGATCATGTATAAGGCAAACGTTGGGCCTCATACGCACCACTGCAATGTGCACTCTCTCTAAGAACCAGTACCAGCTTTCAATGTTCTCACTCTCTACAAATGCAAAAGCCATAGGTAGAACCTGGTTGTTCCCATCACACCCAATTGCTGTCAATATCTGACCTCGGTATTTACCTGTCATAAAAGTTCCATCTATGCATAGAACAGGTCGACAATGCACAAAAGCATTGATGCAAGCACCCAATGAGAAAAAGGCTCTTTGCAGCACACTCTTTGTTCGATCATCAACCGATGTAAATGTATGTAGGTCATAGTACGTATTATTATTCCTCTGGGCAATGGTGGCTAACAAACGAGGCAAATTATCATAAGAAGCTTCAAATGTGCCATACCTCATCTCAATAATCTTTTGTTTGGCTCTCCAGGCCTTTGCATAGCTTATGGTGTACTTGAATTTGTTCTCGATGTGCCTAATAATTGATTTTGGTTCAAAGCCAATGTTACCAACAACACTGCTGTACATCTCACTTGCCACAAAAGCTGAAGTGATGTTTCGGTGATACTTCTCCACCCCTTGTAAGTAGCACTTGTGCTCGATCACAATGCTAACTTTCCAGTAATCATTCCATTTACCCTTATATGCATGGACACGCCACGGACAATCTTCCTTCATGCACCTCACTTCATACACATAATTTGTTGACTTGACCACCCTAAACTCTCTCTGCAAGGAAACTGCCCAATGCTTCACCGCCTCCTTCATCTCATCCTTATGAGCATACCTTGCACCCTCAATTACCTCGTTCTCCTTATACTCCCAGGGTACATGATCACCCTCTGATATAACAAGTCCAGAGAAGTCCTCATTTGCCCAATCAGTGGCCATTACATCACCTTCCTCATCGGATGATGCGTCGTCGTCCGCTTCCTCATTATCCGAATCTTCCCTCTCCATTTCATCAACAATTATACCGACTCTCTCCCCCTCATCCGCCATGCCCATGGCCTGCTCCTCCCTTGGTTGATCTTCCTCATTTTGCATTGATGGTCCAACAACATCCCCTGCATTGATAGGACCCTCTACATCTTCGGTTTGCATTGAAACATTTATATCTTTCTCTTGTACCGACACAAATATAACGAGGGGCCATGACCGTTCAAAAGCCATTTCCACATACCGTCTCCAAGCAGCAGTGCTGTCCATCGGCATTAGTTCCCAAAAATAACCTTCTGTTGCACGACTCACTACAACTGATACTGACAGTGTGTAGACTTCTTGGTCTATTCTAAATCCTCTCAACAACCAACTATAAATTGACTGAAATGTTCTCTCCGCAGGCCTATCGATGCCCTTAGATGTCATTACAAAATCTGACAGATCAACACCATCTGGACCAAATCTAATATTTCCTTCACCGTGAACTATCTGAAATGTGACCTTATTTGACATTGTGCCTGATGAAAACAATAACTGCGTTAACCTCGCATTTCTGTACTACGCCCTAAGTTACATTCTCTACAATATTGTTCTCCAAAATTCTAAAAGTAGGTTACATTCTCCAGATCAAACTAAACTACATCTTACAATTAACACTACTGTCTATGTCTCAATTCATACTATTATATTCTATGCTCTGGATCTACACATATGTGCTGTGTGCTACAGATCTGTTAAAATATATGGAACTAAAACTAAAACGCAACATATATACTCAAACATAACATATTAGTACAAATGCTAAAGATGTATGGGAGCAAACCTGTGATGAAGTGAGCGAACCAGCAGGGCTTCGCCGTTCGCCTTCTGCTGCCCTCCCCTCTCTCTCTTTCGTTTTTTTTCGATTTTTAGTGAATATAATGAAATTTCAGAGAGGGGGGACTGGGCTTTATAGGGGGGAGGCAAAAATCGCCCTCCCCTAGGGCGGCAAGGGGGCCGCCTGCAAAATTCCATGCCCCCTCGCCGCCCATTTGCAGGCGGTCCCCCGCACAGTACAAAAATCGCCCTCCCCCAGGGCGGCAAGGGGGCCGCCTGCAAAATTCCATGCCCCCTCGCCGCCCATTTGCAGGCGGCCCCCCGCACAGTACAAAATCGCCCTAGCGGAGGGCGGCAAGGGGGCCGCCTGCAAATTTCGTTGACGGCCGTCGCCCGAGAGCGAACGGCCGTCTGCCACGTCATTTTCGCCGCCCTCTGGGAGGGCGATTTTTAAAAATCGCCCTCCCAGAGGGCGGTAGGCGACTACTTCCGTCAATTTTCAAAATGGAAAATTATTTTTGTAAAACTTTTAATAAAAAAAATTAAAAATAAAAAAAATTCGAAGCCGCGGAGGTCGGAACGACACATGATGACAGCACTGCGATCCGTGGGAAAGACAGACCAATGTACTGGCGTCAGCACTGCTGACATTAGGGGCATATTTCGTTGCTCGCATCCGTGTTTGAGAGACGTACCAATGTACCGGCGTCAGCACTCCTGATTCACCTCTCTCGTTCAGCCTGAGTTTGATCTGGCTTTAGAGATATATGTGCAGATGTTTGGTTGTTCGCTTGAGATGAACTTGGATGTGATGAGATGTCATTATTTGGTTTGTTACAGCAAATGGTGAAATGGGATGGTTGCTTGCAGGAGTTGTTGGTCCCCATCGGTTGCCCACTTCTTATTATAAGCCATAGCGGCTTATTAGCGATTAAAAAATAATATGTGAGTAAACTTTTGTATGTATGTTCTTAGTGATTGAAAAGCTAAAGTTGAAAAAAAACTATGTTGAAAAGACATTAAAATCAAATTCAAAATCAAGTTTTAAAATTCAAATTTTGGCTTTGGCTTATAAGCTACAGGGCAACCGATGAGGCCCGTTGATTGGTTGGATGGATATATCTTGTGTGTGTAGATACCCATTCTTATGGGTGGTGAGGTTACCCCATAAAATTTGTGGAGTGAAATTTTTTTCAAGCCCCTAATTTTGTTTATAAGTGCTGAGGTTAATCTGTGATAAAGGTTATAGATTTAAATTGTGTTACCCGTAATTACCTACTACTCCATTTTTGAGATTTTTTTTTCTTGGAGAATCGATGGTCTGTGTATGTATGTTTTACTGAGATGGTCATTTTTTTAAGAACCAGTGAGCAGCACTGATGAACTAACTTTTTTTTAACGAATATAACAGAATCGCTTGCCTTACTAGATCAAAATTCAAGAGTGGTTATTATAGCAAAAATCATCTGTATAATATTGTTGACAACATTGGTATATTTGACAATTCAAAACAAACATATAAACGTACGTGCTCATGGCAAGTTTTTTACAAGGAACCAATTTTATAAACAAGTTAGTAAGCACATATACAAAACAAACCATCCGTATCAGCTATGTTCTGCTTGCAAGCTTTTGTACAGGTAACTTCAAACTCATCAGCCTATTAGTATATCTACGATTGAGCATTCTGAAAATTGTGGTGGCCTATCTTAATATATGAAAGCAACAAGCTCTCTCAAATAGGGACGTGCCACATCATCCGAAATAACAGGGACCTTAGGATGGGAATGGTGAGAAAGATGGACCGTTGGTTCATTTGGATTGGAGAACAATCAAGAGGCTTCCAAAGCAAATGTCGCTATGCAGATTACTTCACATGTCTAGTCAAAATAGCCTAATCAAACAGACAACAAAAACTATAATAATAAAAAGGGAACACAACAGAACAATGCCTAAAGCAGGGGATTAAAAAAAGGTTCTCATCAGATGTTATTTTTTCAGCTTTATCACTTTAATGATCAATATATTTACATGTATACAGATGCAATACAATATTCTCCAAGCAACAAGTTCTTCCTATAAAAAAAAGAAAAATTACCATTCAAGTTATGATAGACTTTGCAAGCTATATATATATATATATATATATATATATATATATATATATATATATATATATATATATATATATATATTAATACTTCTCTATCTACAATTCATGTTGCCAATCAGCATTTATAGGATGCCCATATAAGCCTTTTTATATGTGGGTTTAGTTTTTTGAAATTAAACAACAAATACGAGATAGTGCGAAGTTTCATATCGCTATAGCAAGAAAAAAAACATAAAACTGCAATATTAGGAATCGTAACCAGGAAAAAACAAAAAAAAAAACAAACATCATCGCCACCACACATTGGCAACTCCTCGCACAACCCCAGGAGAAGACACTAGTTAATAGTGAAACCTGCACTATACATGTTGGTCATGACAAGATTTTCCAATATCACTTTCCTGAAACATGGTAAAAGTAAATAGGATAGCCTGTACCTTTGAAATAGTAGTTCCAAATGGCAAACACAAAACCAAGAAAACTGATGGCTAAAAAAAATTCATAGTTGGCTTCAAAAATTGCATTAAGGAACAATGTACAAGCAGCAATGTTAAGAAAATAACGAGAAAGGAAAAAAGGGCAACAACAATAAAGCTTGTGCAATATCACAGGCCATTTCTCTCTGAAAATAACAGGTGTACAGAGTCTGAGTTGCACAGACCAGGGTTAAAGAGCATCAACAATAATTATCAGTACTATGATCTTTGGTTCGTGCCCTGGTGAAAAGGAGCCTGAGCGCTGTTCGGTTGAAGGCCAGAAAGATTTTCTGGACGCCTGTACCGAATCACTGTCATGCATCATTAGCCTGAGTCCGGCTTCCCATTTCGGAGGCCTGAGCTTCAGCTAAACAACCCCTATAACCTAATAGTTCTCTTAAAATAATTAAATTTTATGCAAGGTAAAATAAAATGCCCGCTTATGTGTGTGGGTTTTCTTCCTAGTTTATCTAATTTGCATGGAATCGAAGAGATCATCACCGAGTTAATTACCGACCCTTATTTCTTATACTCGACCGATGAGATTGTCCAATCAAAACAAGTGTGGTGCAAACCTTTTGTTGTTAATGTACAAGGCTAAACCCATTAATATACCCCCTATTGCACACACATCTACAACAATCATATCCATTAAGCGTTGAAAATACTTCAGACATCTTTTACTCGGTAGCATCACCTTGTCCATGAATGTTGCCTGCTGAGCCGTCGTTAATCTGCAGCAATCCTGAATGAATCGATCGATGACTTGCCATGGCCGGATTCCCTTCGAGAACGCATGAACTCCGGCACGGAGAAGCGCCGGAACCGTGCCGGCCTCTCCGCGGTGAGGAGCTCCGGGAGGGGCCCGAACAGGTCGGAGGCATCGCGCTTGGCTGGGTTGAAGAAGACAGCAATGGAGACCCTGGCGTCTTGGCTAGACTTGATCACCACCCTGTGCTCCACGCTCTTGTACTCCTCGTTCGAAACCATCTGACAATTGTGGTGTAAGTACATAGGTATATAATTACTAGAATATATATAAGCTTCCAGAATATGTACAGCTGACAATCTTTTTTTTTTTCACCGGGGTAAAGCCCGAGCCGGCCAGTATTGTATACTAAATCTATTCAAATATTAGTTGCACACCAAATCTATTAAAATCATATCTTACTATAAAGTTGATGCCCGCTAACTCCTAAAGCTTAATATGCAAGTGTGCGACGTCATCACCCACTAGCAATTATTATCTAGAATATTTTAAATATCATGCAAACATAACATATCAATTACAAATTTGTTGCATTTTTAGAACTCAATATGCAAGCAATGTCAAATCATTATCTCCACATTATTTAAACATATACATCTACTATTTCTATAATATATAACATGTATTCATCCACATATCCGGTAACAAAGCGCGAGGTATCAACTAGTTTACATAGACGTAATGCCGATCACAGCCTCCCAAGAAGTACTAACATGGGGAACAATTTTGTGCTACATGCATATTACCCCGTTCTAATTGAACAGTATAGATTAAAGGGGTTGGGCTATAGATTCAACCAAGAAATTTTGAAGGCCAAGATCATTCCTACTAGTACTTCCTTAGGTTTCTAAATATAAGCATTCATAGATTGTTTAGCACAGATTATGGTAAAAGTAAAATATTTTATTTCAGTCATGCAAATTATCAGTCAAATTTTGAATTTTCCTCGGAAGCACCAGATCAGCTAAAACCTACTTAGATTCCCATGTGTTGAAATCATTATCCTAAAACCGCTTATATTATGTATAAAAATGCTTATTTTGTGTTTAAAATTTAAATTATGGAAAAGGTACATATATTTAGGAATGGAGGGTATGAGTGTAGTACTAGTACCCACGTGGCCATGTGTCAAACTTTATACACCAAGAAGCTTCAAGTTTTTCAACTTTAACAAAATTTATAGAAAAACTTAGCAACATCTATAATACTAAATTAGTTTAAGAAAATCTAGCATTGAATATATTCTAATATAATATTGTTAGAAATGTTACTATTTACTATGTTTTTTTAAAAAAAATGATCAAAATAACATTGACAAAATTTATAGAAACCCTTACCAACATCTATATTTTAATAGTATTATTAGAAATGTTACTATTTACTATTTTTTTAAAAAAAATCGATCAAACTAACTTTGACAAAATTTATAGAAAAACTTAACAACATCTATAAAATATTAAATCAGCTTAAGTAAATCTAACATTGAATATATTTTAATAATCCTGTAAGAAATGTTACTATTTACTATGTTTTTTAAAAAAAATGACAAAAAAATTCAAAGCTTCTTAGTAACTAATATCGTTTCAGACTTCTTAAAATCTTATAAGACAATTTGGACTGCTTAATCTTTTTCTTAAGAAAATAGTTACAGAACAGTAATATTATCCAGGCTTTTCTTATACTATACAAATGTAGCTGGTACGTCATCTTCTAAGTCCAAAACTAATACTGTTAATTACAGCCAAGTTGACTGTAACATTTTCTCTGTGACTGAAACGGTAATATTTTATTACTACATATTTTTACTTATCATCGGCTATCAATAGGACGTGTCGAGTTGCAAAGATAAGTTAATCAAACGGTACCTTGAGCACGTCCCCGACGTTGACCACCAGTGCGCCGGCGACCGGCGCCACGTCGACCCACTCGCCTCCGCCGCCGCCGCCTTCTTCTTCCTCCCGCCGGACCTGCAGCCCGCCGACGGCGTCCTGCGCCAGGACGGTGAAGAGGCTGGGGTCGGTGTGCTCCAGGCTGCCGACCACCCGCTCCGGCTCCGGGCACGGCGGGTAGTAGTGGCACGCCATCAGCCACCCCTCCACCTGCATCTCCCGCTCCAGCCGCTCCGCCCCGACGCCGCCGCCGCCGCCGCCGCCGCCGAGCGCCTCCGACAGCAGCCCGGCCATCTCCTTCCCGAACACCGTCAGCGACCGCTGGTACTCCGGCAGCGCGTCCCGGCAGGACGCGGGAAGGCGCCCTAGGTCGGGAGCCTCGGGCCCCGGGCCGAAGCGTACCACCAGCGAGTCGCGCCATGGGAGGAGAGGAGACGCAGCGGTTGCGGCGCGGTGGTCGCTGGAGGAGCCGTCTTGCGGCGGCGGCTGCTGGATGGGGATGGTGGAGTAGGCGACGCCTCCGACGGGGGCCAGCGAGTAGCACGGCGAGCGGGACGCGGCGGGCTGCTCGTGGAACGCCCGCACGGCGGCGACGGCGGAGGCGACGGTGCCGCGCGGGACGCCGTGGCTGGTGACGTGGAAGAAGCCGCACGAGGTCGCGGCGGCGCGGACGAGCGGGACGGTGGCCGAGCGCGGGAGGGAGAGGTCAACGGTCGGGATGGCGAAGGCCGTCGCTCGCGGCGGCGTAGGCGGCGTCGAGCGCTCGCGGCCGCAGCCTGGCGGGAGGAAGAGCGGTGGCACGGCGGTGGCGCCAGACTCGACGAGGCCGCGGACGCCGGCGCGCGACGCGTGGAACTCGGCCAGAGACGACGCCGCCGCGGCGTCGCGCTCCTCGGCTGCCGCCATCCTACCTACTCCTTTCTTGGCGAAATGCCGTGTCCGTGTGCTTTCAGTTTTGATTCCTTCAGATATTGCTCCGAATTAAAACTGTGGGAAACATGAGACCACCTGAGAATTTTGTCGGCAGGGCAAAGTGGATGGACACCTTTCTTCTACAATGTATACATCAAAAACAGATCAAAACTCAAACAATATATATACACAAAGTCATATACTCCCTCCGTTTCTAAATATTTGACACCATTGACTTTTTAGCACATATTTAACCGTTCGTCTTATTCAAAAAATTTTGTGAAATATGTAAAACTATATGTATAATGAAAGTATATTTAACAATGATCAAACGATAGGAAAAGAATTAATAATTACTTAATTTTTTTAATAAGACGAATGATCAAACATGTTTAAAAAAATCAACGAAGTTAAATATTTATAAACGGATGGAGTATATGCAACTAGCAAAATTTTAGACTAATGATCGAAGAGCTGGTAAGTGGTACCAGGCTAATCAAAGCGCCGGCAATCAGCCAAATACATAGACTAATGGACAGCGAGTCAAAATATTAAACATGGGCCGAAATAAACTTCCCCCGGTTCTAAAATTTAAGTCGTATTTGATTTTTTACACGATCATCACAGTTATACTTTGAACATTAGTTTCTTTAATAATATATTATCAACAACTATATAAAATTAGCATCATATCACAATATTTTCCAATAAAGCTCTAGTATACATGACAAGAAACACAAACATCTCTCTCCACAAATATAACAGACTTTGGTTAGGTACTTTACAAGTGCAACCCCTTGTATTTTGTGGACATATGAAGTATACTTTTGTTCAATTATTAGTCAAAATTTTGAATAGTTGATTTTGCTGAAAAGAAGTGCCTCAAGGGAGTAGCAGCTCTTCCACGCTATGATATAATAACTTAATATTTAAATGAGTAAATTTCATAAAACCACATAAATTATATATGATCTAAGTTGTATAAAACCACATGGTCTTTGATATGTGGCAAATAATCCAAAGTATTATGGTCATAAAGTTTCATAAAAACCACACATTTGATCAATTATTCTTGGATCCAACATTGCTATGACCTTTAAAATTACATGTCAAACTTATAACTTCTTTGACCTATCATACACCAGTAGTAGTAGCTATCTAAGTTTACACACTTTTACTTTGGCATAATAACAAGTCAAATTGGATAGCGGTGTGGTTTTGTAAAATTCTTGGAACGTAATACTCAGGGTTACGTGCCACATGTGTGTGGTTTTGTATAACTTTGACCATAATACATGTGGATTGGTAAAAATAAATGTGGTGCGCTGGTGCTGTGCTTATAAAGGGAAGTATTTGTTCCTTGAGAAAATTGAAGTGAAATCTTTCACAAAAGAAAAAAAATATTTCACCTGGCTAAGATTGTTGGGTTAGAATATGTTTGCTGATACATGTTGAAGTCCCTAGTCCATCAACTTTAAATCCGGAATATGAGAGACCAGATGCCAATCCTCCCCAACTCCTTGCTTGCAACGCCTAACCAGTGCAGGACAGTTACGTATACACAATTCCTCTAGACCGGTAAGACGTTGTATGGATTGGGGCAACGATGTCAGGCCGGAGCATCCAAGGATATGGAACCTTCGAAGTGCAGAGAGTTCACCTAGCCACTCTGGAAGCTGGGTCAGCGCGTCACAGCAAATCAGGGTGAGCCATTGAAGCGATGTGAGGCGTTGCATGCTCTCGGGAAGGCATGTCACACCAGGCAAATCATAAATGTGAAGCCCACGGAGTGAGCAGAGTTCCCCGAGTTGCTCCGGCAGCTGCTGCAGGGCATGGCATGACATTATGTGCAACACTTGGAGGCATGTGAGGCGTTGTATTGATTGAGGGGCGATGGACGTTATTATTGGGAGATTTAGGAAGCGCAGATCCTGTAGAGATTGCAGTTCCCCAAGCCACTCCGGCAGCACACAAAGATTGCAGCGATCTATGAGCAGCATATGGTAATGGAGGCAGGTGAGGCTCCGCATGCTCTCGGGCAAATACCTAAGGTCCCTGCACTCAGATATTTCCAATGTACGAAGCTCAGTGAGGTGCCGCAGCATCTCCCAGCCAGATGATGAGCCTATCAGTCGATCAAGTTTTAGATACGTGAGGTGGGGATACTTCACATCCACAATACAGGATGAAGATGAAGACTCGTTGCCATGACCATGAGCTGCATGACGCGGATGGAAGAAGCATCCTGAGGAAAGCAATTGCCCATGGCTTCCTTCCAATGTAAGATTCTTCAGAGAATCTGGAAAGTATGGCTTCACAATCAATCTTGGACAGTCACTTATTACCAGAGTGGAGAGGTCAGGGAAACAGCACTGCACTTGGTCTTCTTGCTCCCAATTTTCTAATCCAGTTGTGGTAGTAAGCAATTCTATCAACTTAGGCATTTCTCTCAGCTCAAGAGTCTTTATCCTAGGTAAATCCGCAAGTCCCCATAGGTGCTCCAAGTTTGGTAAGTTTACCAACACTAGTTTAGTCAGTTGGCAGAATTGAGGTGGATTGCTCTGCTTTAGCATATGCATGTATTTCAGATCACAAGAATCCCATTGCTTTGTCATCCAACGTGGCAATTGGAGACCCCTATAGCCAATAACTGTGAGCTCCTCAATTTCCAATGGTGGTGTTAGAAGTATAATATGGTAGTTAGAGATAAGAGTCAAATATAAATTATAGAGATAAGATATATCCTAGAGATAGAATCCTAGAGATAAGATAGAGTCCTAGAGATAGAATCCTAGAGATAATTCTACTCTTACTTGTATTGTACTCCAAGTCTCTATCCCCTATGTACTCCTATATATACCCCATGAGAGGGTCGATCCAATATATCAGAAAATACTAAAATACAGCGTATTAGATTTTCTACATGGTATCAGAGCCGTAGACAAACGTCGATCGATCCTCGGTTCCAGCTAGGTTCCATCCGCGCTGCCCCAGGGAGATGAGATCAATTTCTCCCTGGGGCACCGCACCGCATTAGCTAGCTAGCCTCTCCAATCATTTACAGATTAGTTTACCGCATATCATTAGATGCGTTTTCTAATAATTAGTTTTAGATCTATTAGCTAGCCACAGAAAACCATATGATCGTCAGGAGCAATGCGGCAGGTGTTACAGGAGCAGACAATGTCAACAAGCATCATACCATCCGGCCTCATCCATGGATCGATCTGCATCGCCGCTGCCAACTCGTCTACATAGATGGACACCTCGCGTCCTCTGACAGATTAATCTGCAAGACGCTTCATCGACGACATCGACCGTGTCCTCTACGACGGCAACGACCGCGTCACCGACAACGGCATCGATCACGTCATGTACGACTATAACGACTGCATCAACCCGGCATCACTATTGTGATGACCGCTATACGGCGCAGAAGGACCAACCAAAGTGGTGGCCTCATTGCCAACGACGTCCTCTGACATATGCAAGACGTCCCCAATGGCATCCTCTGACATCTACAAGGTGCAAGATGCTAACAATTACAGTTTTTGTCTTCACACCATGGCGTAAATATTTTTTTTTCGCCTTTGGCTATATGCGGCTACACCGACAACCACAGTTACTTCATGATCGGCTACATCGACGAACGTCTACAACAAAAATCATTGACGGAAACTCCAGTCCAAGCGTCCGTGTCATCGCTATCGTCCATGACACTCCCGCTATGACTGCGGGAGGGAATAGAGGAGACTCAAGGGACGACACAGAAGGGGACGCAGGCACCAGGTGGAGGACCGTCCATCAGAGATGCAGTCGATGATGGTGAGTCAAAGAAAGATGAAGAAATAGAAGATTTCAAATCCAGTCGCAATCGTTCGCTTCGCTCCCGTTACGACTGAGGGGGAATGTTAGAAGTATAATATGGTAGTTAGAGATAAGAGTCAAATACAAATTATAGAGATAAGATATATCCTAGAGATAGAATCCTAGAGATAAGATAGAATCCTAGAGATAGAATCCTAAAGATAAATCTACTCTTATTTCTATTGTACTCCAAGTCTCTATCCCCTATGTACTCCTATATATACCCCATGAGAGGGTCGATCCAATATATCAGAAAATACCAAAATACAACATATTAGATTTTCTACAGGTGGTTCAAGATTGTTGAGCAAATCCAGATCGTTTTTCATATTCAAGGTAGCCCGCGCGTATGCGCGGGCACTTATATTATTGAAAGATAAGATTATTGCTTGTTTAAAATTTTTGCCTCGTAGATTATGGGCAAACTAAAGATCAGATAATATTCTTTCATAATAATTTAAGGGTTGAGTAGGAGATGGATTAAGTACATACGATTTATACGACTTTTGAATGATCTTACTTTCTCAGCTAAGTAATAAAGTATTGCATACATACTGTCTCTACACGTACTGTGTAGTATGGCTACATACCAAAAATGCCAATCGTCTCATGAAACCGCACGATATAGTAAGAAAGGGAGAGAAGCATATACGTACGTACGTGCTTACCTATGCCACGGGAGGAGAGGTGGGACCCCGTAGTTTTTAATTTATTCTAAGATCAATTTCAATCTAACGGTTGATGATATTGGACCCACCTATTTAAGTGAAAATAATCTAATAGATGTTTTGCCTTTTTTTTTCTTAGAATTTCAAGATTTTCTCTAATTTATTAGAGCACCACGTGGCAGGTTGAGAGTGTTTTAAGGAATTTTAATGGACGTAACGCATGTAATTAGCCATGTAATATATATGTATGGGACATGTGGTAATATTCATTCCAGTTTCGTCGAGAGAAATTAATTATGTTGCTAGCAATGCTTTATATGTCTAATTAATAGTAATCAATTTTGGCACCTATTTACAATTGTTCATAGTAGCTCTTACATATTCATCTTACGACTTTGATTATTTGTTGATGACCATTCTACTGATCATCATGACTCGCATGAAAAAATAATAGTACTACTTAGGAATAGGACAGCTGAAATTGATGAATTACCTTATTTATGTGATAGCTATTTGAGGGTAAAAACGAATGAATTAACTTCTAAAAAAATTAAAAGTTGTTTAAAAAAAATTTAGAAACATGGAAAGCGTGGAAACAAAAATCTAAAATAAAGAATCATGAAAAAAAAGTGCCTTAATTTCCCTTATAACACTCTCGTCCTAGTAAGAGTTTTATTCATATTCATTAATAATGTGATTATACTTATAACATAATAATTTATTTCACCTGCACGAACAAATATATAGTGCAAAATCTAAATACGACATAACACGATATATTATAATTATTATGTAATCAACTCTCGGTTTCTGTGTAAACGTAGCTAAGTGTTGGAAAAACTCAACCCACGGTACTTTATTCTTCTCTTGCTGCATCACACCTTTAATTTTCTTTCTATGTTATTAACAAAATTAATCATGATCCATATATGATTTGATATATGGTAAAGCGGTAGCGCATGATCACCTTCGATGCCTCAGATACAATGCTTTGTCACGCGTGCGAAAGGCAGAGGTACAGACGTGCATTGTGCGACAGGCCAAAAAGAGAACTCCAGATGCTTTATTTATTAATTAATAGATCCGATGATTTAAATAATGGGTCCACCGGTTCCAGTGTAAGTGTAAGTGTAAATTAGCTAATATAGATCTTAAATTGATAATTTAATGGGCACACGATATAATGGTGTAGAATTTATTTTTAAACAGTGTATTATTTGAAAATAATAGTCCAAAGTAATAAAAGATAGATCATATGGTTTAAATAATAGGTCCAACAATTCAAGTGCACATATAAATTAGTTAATATAGATCTTAAATTGTTAATTTGATAAGTACAAAATATAATTTTGTAAACTTTATTTTAAAATAGTGTATTATTTAAAAATAATAGTGCAAAGTATTGAGTATACCAGTTTAAGTGGAAATTATTTTACATTATTAATTTAATGGTAAACATATAATGGTGTAAATTTTATTTTTCAAACATTGTAGAGCTAATTTAGTTACATGCATTTCTAAAGAGTCATATGATGGTATATTCTTTGTTTGTAAGTGTACGTGCATCCCTATGGCATGGGAGAATAGGTGGGACTGCGTTGCTGGAGAGGTGGGACCCCATAGTATTTAGATTGTTTTAAGATAAATTTAATTTAACGGTTTATAATATTGTACCCATCGATTTAAGTGAAAATCAAGAGGTAGATGTTTTTTGCTCTTTTCCTAGAATTTCTATGATATTTTCTAATTTGTTAAAGCGCCATGTGGCAGCTTAAGTGCGTTTAAGAAATTTTAATGGATTTTTAAGTATATAATAGATCGATAGATATAAGTATGGAAGAAAAAAAAAGAAAAAAAAGTAGGGCAGGGGGATTCGTACGTACGTACGTACTTTAAGTATACTACTAGAAAAAACGCACGGCTTTGCCACGCGTGGTACAGTGAGCCTGGCCCATTGGGCCTAGTGAACAGGTAACAAATTAATACGCATATATGGAAGAGCCAGATTAATAGTAGAGATAACTAAAGCTTATATTAGAGCTTATAAGTTGGCTATAAGATTGTCTCTGTATTTCTTTTTCCTCTCTCTTTATCTTACTTATAAGAATTTAATGTGTTTACCTTGAAGCATGTGTAGAGCTAGATTTTACTCGAAAGCCAACACTATATATATATTTTAATCTCTATCATACACGTAAGTTTATAGCCCACTATTATTTTTGTTCTAAGAGCAAATTTTATGAGCAAGTTTTATAGCAGAGGTGATTGAGACCACCAATTTATTCACATCATCAACTAATTAATTAAGTCTCTAACATACCGGCTCCAATTTTCATCCAATCCACACCATTCTTTTCTTGGAGTTTGTGAAGAGATTACCCCTTTCATGAGGGGTGGTTACTTCTCACATAATGTCTTGTAGCTCGTGCTTCAACTAACTAATAATATGTAGTCTATTTTTCTTCACTCTCCTTCGATGTTCTATAGCTAGCTTATTGCTTTATATTGTACTTGTTCTAAGGTTGCATTCGATAAAGGGACAAATAAAGGAAACGTCCATCATTTTTCACCCATATGTCGGAGTGTTTTTACATAAAAATATCTGTAGAAAAGTTACTTTTTTAAATAATCATATTTCTATATTTTTCATGTTTGAAACAGTCCTAAATCACCTGATGAAGCGATAATGGCATACCTCTTTTACGTATCTCATTTTTTCCCTCTCCTCTCAAATATAGCCTAAGGTATGTTTGTAACTTAGGAAAACAAAATACATGGAAGAAAACATTTGGAATATAAAACACATAAATACAGGTGTAAAACATAGAAATAAAAAAACATACTCCCTGCGGGTTGATAATACTTGTCGTTTTGGACAATGATACGGTCTTAAAAAACAACTTTGACCATTATTTTTTATTATAATATGTATATAAATGTTAACAAATATATGATTTTATTGAAGTACTTTTTAAGACTAATCTATATATATAGTCACCATATTTAAAGACAAATATTTTAGAAATTATTCATAACCAAACATTTTAAGGTTTAGTCTCACCCTTGTCCAAAACGACAAGTGTTATCAGCTCAGAGGGAGTAGAAAGTTTAAAAAGATTAATATTTGGAACGTAGAATTTTTTAGTGGATGATTTAATTACATCCGGCTAATTTATTTTAATCCCTAACTAAAGTAGGTATTATTAATTCTTTGATCCTCAAGATCTGGTGGTGAAAGGAAGCAATAGCTGCCTGCTTGCCTGGGCTTTGCCAGCCGTACGGCGGCAATGTGAGAAATCAGCGTCAGCAACGTGGTACAGTTCATTGATCAGCATACACCGGGTGTTTGCACTACATGTATGCATAGTAATGGCGCCGGCTCTTCTAGAATCATCACACGGCATAATTCGCATGGGCTACCGAGCAATGGCCTATTGGGGCCTGATTACGGAGAAATTTCTGGAGGCCTGCACACACGCACGCAAGAGCGTTTCATCGATGCCTGCACGAGCGGATGCGAGATCGTTTCGTCGAGCCTCTTATGCGAAACTGGAGTTGCCACGTGGCACGTTTCTCCTTTCGATGGTTTGCATTGAATTCGTATTATAAGATAAGATGCGGACTGATGTGAGGTTTTTAAGAGATAAATTTGATTTGGTAACTTTTTAAGATAGATCTATGGTTGAAAGTAGTGGGTCCACCAGATTAAATGAAAATCGATGGTCAGATGTTTTGTTTTCTTCATAGAATTTTTAAAATTTATTAAAATGACACATGGCGATCTGAGAGCGTTTATAGGAGCGCTATGTGTCGGTTTATGAGTTTTTGTAGAAAGTCTCATGGACTTTTAGTATATAATAGATAACTCTTCTTCTGTCCTTTCTTCGACAGAAAGCTTTTCTTCCATATGACTAGCCCCAAACTCCCACCTTGAAGACCAATCCAATGACAACTTCCGTATGCCATTCTTTCTCTTCAAGTGAACCATTTCTGCATCAAATGGATCCTTCACATGTTTAATATTTTTTATCTGCAATTCTCCATTAAGCTTATCAAGCTTTTCAAGCTCTGAGATCCTTGCATGCTTAGTCCTATCTCCTATAACAAACAAGCCCAACTGCTGTAAACGAATCAGTTGCCCACAACCTGCTGGCAGGCCACACAATCTCCTGCATCTCTCTAGATTCAAAACTTCAAGCTTTTTCAAGGCGCCTATGCCTTCAGGCAATTCTCTAAGCTCAGTACAACATGAAAGGTCTACATATTGTAGATGACCCAATAAAGTGATGCACTGTGGCAGGTGTTTAAAAGCCGTACAAAATGTTAAAGTGATGGTCTGTAAGTTGCGAAGCTTCCCATATGGTTCTGACGGTAGCAGTTGCTGCAAATCCGTGCAGTACACAAAACTAAGGACCCTTAAATTTTCTAATTTTTCAATGGAATTTGGCATATCTTTGATTCCACAATTTTCTAGGTATAAGCTTCCAAGACTATCACAATCACCGATAGACTGAGGTAAACTCTTGACGTTCCAAGCAACATTCAATTCTAGAGTTCTAAGCTTCTTAAGCTTACCAATAGACTCAGGTAAATTTGCAAGTCTGGTGCACTTTATCACATGAAGAGCTTTCAAGTTCCAACAATGTGAGATAGCGTCTGGGAGTGCTTCACAATTAACATTGCTGATTTCAAGATAGCCCATGTATTCAAAGTTGGATACGAACAGATGCAATGAATCAATATTCATATACTTCAATATAACTGTGCGGATGCAACGCTGCTTGTTCATAGTCCTGTCAGATGCAAGTTTACACCTAGAAACATAGAATGCACGGACCTTGTCATATAGTTTCCTATCAACCTTCCCACTGCACGAAGTCAATGATAAATACCTGCACTTCTTTGTTTGATCGATAGTTTCTATTCCGGACACAAATTCATCCTGTAAAATTTTTCTACTGAGATCATGAATCAGGTCATGCATTTTGCATGTCACCTCGTCACTGTGATCTTGCTCTTGATCTTGAAGAAAACCCACTTTCAGAAGGGAATCAAAGTAGCCAATTCCAACATCTTCAGGTTGTTGAGCTTGGTTTGTCGGGATGAAGCCATGGGCAATCCATTGTGAAATTAAATGGCGCCTTTTGATTACATATCCTCTTGGAAATATAGAACAATGTAAAAAACACCGCTTTAGATGATGTGGTAGGTGAATATAACTCAACAATAAGCAAGCAAATATTTTACGTTCTTCATCCTCAACATCTAACAAATTACTGTCTCTTATGGATTGCCATTCTTCTATTCCTTTCATTCCACGGAGGACACCTGCAAGAACTTTAATTGCAAGGGGCACACCACTGCATTTCTTCATAATTTCTGTCCCGATTTGTAGGAATTCAGGGTCCAAACCAATCGCTGCGCTTCCTAAATTTTGCTCGAACACTTTCTGGCTGTTATCCTCAGACAAGAATGGCATGTCAAATGTATATGTGGAATCTACCGCTTCCGCAACTTTTCTACTACGAGCAGTGAGTAAAATGCTACTTCCAGGAGCACCACTCTTCAGATGTACCATGAATTGCTCCCAGTGAGCGTGGTCTTCCGTCCAAACATCATCCATTACAACTAGGAACTTCTTCCCAGCCAGCTTGTCTGAGATTGTTCTGCTCACACGCTGCAATGGGAGATGGTTAGGCTTGTCTCCAGCAATAGCTTCATACAACTTCTCGACAAGCTTCTCAACATCAAATTCTCGTGACACATGAACCCACAGTATAAGTTCAAAATGCTGCTTTATTGTGTTACCATCGTTAAAGACTAGCTTCGCGAGAGTAGTTTTACCGGAGCCGCCTAATCCAATGACTGAAACAATTTTTATGTTTTGTTGAATACTAGACTCTGTCAGCTTAGATATCACCCAATTCTTCTCTTTGTCCCTCCCAAATATTGATGTCTCGTCCATGATAGTCCAATGAGGCACCTCCCCTGTTAAATATGTGATTCGAATTTTGGGCCCACAATATATTCGGATTCCCTATGTTTGTAATCATCTCCTCTATAGTGATTATTGCCGGTCGGCGCCCGTGGTTTTTTCCCGCAAGGGTTTTCCACGTAAAATTCGTGTCTCCGTTGTGCATCTATTTTCATAACAAGTGGTATCAGAGCATTGGAGATCGATTTTACACGTCACTGGTGGAGAAACCCTTTGTAGTCCCGGTTTGTAACCCCCTTTAGTCCCGGTTTCCAAACCGGGAGTACCAATCCGGGACTAAAGATCGCTATCTTTAGTCCCGGGTGAAATAACCGGGACTAAAGATCGAGCTGACCTTTTTTTTGCATGGCCCTGTTGCTGCATATATATATATATATATATATATATATATATATATATATATATATATATTATATTATATTATATGTATATATGGTTCAGTACATATGTACATGCATAATATATATGTATTTATACATATATATGTTATGCAAATGCATATGTATATAGATATATATATGACCAAAATATATTTACATTATAGAAAATGTGTACACATGCATATAGAAACATATGTAGTCATGTATTAATTACAATCCATTATATGTCCTAGCTAGCTACGATTTCGACGTAGTAGTAGTCGCTGCTAGCTCAGAAGCTAAGGACCGGTGAATTGTGTTTCCGTCGTAGTAAAATTCACCCTTGTGATCAAGGATTTCTTCGTTGATGAATCCCATGAGTTGTTCTTGAACCGCCGCGATAAATTCCTTGTGTGTGGTCAGGTTATCCCTCATGCGAATAAACTATATGAATGTATGAAATTGATTAGTAATTAAACAAGAAATCGTTACGTAATGAAATTTTGAATTTATTTGTACGTACATCGAGCTCTCTTCTGGTGATGATTTGGTCTGCAAGGCAGTGGCAATACTCACACACGTAGTAGCCGCACAAGTTAGTTCCCTGCTTTTGCTTTGCGCACTACAAATAAATGACAAATTAACGGCGTGAGATCTAATTAATATACACTTGTATGTATTAATTTGAATCGGAGAAATATAAATGTAGAGCATGTGTACTCACAGGAAATTTGAACCTCCGCCTAAGTCTTTCTCTCCAGTTGCCGCGGACCAAATGACAGAACCGATACCAAGCCCTACATGGAGTTTAAAGATATAATTCGTAGTACAAATAATTAACATAACAAGAATTTCTTAATTAACAGAGGAACTTATGCCAGTACCTGTCTATAAGTTCGAAAACCTTGTCAAACGTAGACTCTTTTTTATCCATTGAGTCATATACGTTGACGGTGCAGGCCGACAGGTCGAAGAGTAAAAGCACCCAGTGGAATCTGCAATGTGCGTGGGATGCATTACATATGAAACACTTAGCAAGTTCATACGGGAATGAAATTTGGTATGTAGGAAGACAGTAAAATTAAACTAACTCTGTGTTGTACGGCAACAGTATGAACGTCTTGTAATGCTGTGCCTTCAGGAGATGGACGAGATTGTCCTCTGTTTCCTGCGGATATTGGTCGAGCATTGCGACGTTTACTCTCCGAGGGTCGATGAATCCAGTATCGAAAACCCTCCGCCGTCGGGCCCTTCGAATCTCCATTCTACAACGATAAAAGGGAGTATTTTATTTTATATAGTCTACTTATATACAAGGTCCTAATTAATTAAAGGAGACGTAGTAATTAAGAATTATAATTGAACGATATACTTACAAAATCCAGCAACTCATAATAGAGACGTCGAGGGCGTCTAGCTGGTATACTTCGTAGATTCCCTTGAAATTGATCCAGAGAATATCATCTCCTTGCAAGAAGTCCGGGTCCCTGATGCTCGCTCCGATCATCTCTCTACCGGTGGCGCTCATCTCCATGTACAGCTGATGGAACTTGTACATTTGTGTGGGTAGGGACTGCACCAGCTCGGGCTTGACAAGCGGTTTACCGAGTTCGTACATGTATTTCAATTCCGCCTTTTCTATTGGTTCAACTCCTAGCAATTGATCCGTAGTTAGACCGGTGTCAATAATAAATTCTTCTATCGTCATGTCTTCCCCGGTCACCAACTCCTGGTTTGGTTGCTCTCCAAGCTGAGGGACTGGTTTGGACTTTCCAGAAGATGCTTTCTTCAGCGTTCGCTCATAGTCCGATAGCTTGATGGCCTCCTTGACAGGTGCAGACATACCCCTGAAGAAGTTCCTGACACTGGGGTCTATAGGAATCTTCTTTTCTGGACTTCGAGGCTTGAATTGTCTCTTGACTTCTGATGCAACGTAAGCGTCAAGCTCCTCTTGTGTGCAATCGTACCCCGGGTCCTTGTTCTTGGCGGCGTCAACTTTCGCCTTCTTCATTGCCCTTGTGTGGGCAAGCGGTGGAGCTGGGGGGGCCCTTGACTTTGAAGGTGCCGGAAGAGGAGCTTGCGGAGGAGTAGGTGTAGGAGCCCGAGGAGGAGTCGGTGCAGGATCCTGAGGAGGAGTCGGTGCTGGAGCCTGAGGTGGAGACGGTGCTGGCGGAGCATGAGGAGGAGACGGTGCAGGATCCTGAGGAGGAGATGGCGGAGCCGGAGGAGATGGTGCACGAGACGCTGCTTGTCGCCCAGGGAGGATGATGTACCGCCTGCGCCATAGAATAATGGCATGGCTTGTGTCTCGTAGATGCGTCTCACCGTCTCCTCCAGGGTAATCCAGCTCGAGGTCCTCGTACGCGCCTTCGACCAACTCAACTTCGACCTTCGAGTATCCTGCTGTAATCGGCCTGCAGTGGTAAGTACCTGAAGGGTCCGTTGGGATGGCCATGCCCGACGCTGCCTTCATGTTGTGAGAGATTATTTATTAGTAATCAACATATATAAGCAGCAACTAGCGGAATGGCTAAATCTAAAATATATAAACTACGAGCTTACCTTTATTAATAAGTTCTTGAAAGGAATATGCAGCTCACATGGTGTCCGCTGAGTGATGTCATCAACGGGACAGGTCGATTCGTCCTGTGTTTGCATGGCGTCCATGCTCTATGATCCTACCTGCCCCGTTGAGGCGCAGCTGCTACGGTTTCCTGACGGGCTCACCATTGCAGGAGGAATGGTCGGCTGGGGATCATGGGACCGATGTGCGGCCATGCGTTCATCAACCTTCCTTGCCACCTCCTCTTGCATGTTGAGTTCGTAGCTCGATACCCGGAACTCTAGATCTGCAATCTTCGCCTCGGTATCTCTCTTGCTCCTCATCCGACTCCTGTACGTGTGGATGTCCTCCTTGAAACCAATCTTCCAAGGAATCACCCCTTTCCCTCGTGTTCGTCCTGGATGCTCTGGAGTCTGCAGGGCGAGTGTCAGCTCGTCCCTATCTCTGTCCGGTCGGAACGTGCCCTGAGAGGAGGCTTCCACTGCATCTCTTAGTCGTCGCGCAGCCTCTCGTATCTGATCGCCGAAGACCAGTGAGCCATCAGCTGGGTTGAGCGTTCCACCGTGAGCATAATACCAGAACTTCGATCGTTCCGGCCAATTGGCGGTTGCCGGTTCGATACCCCTCTCAATCAAGCTAGCCTCCATCTCCTCCCACTTCGGCATCGCGACGTTATTGTCGCGACCGAGAAAATTGCATTTTCCCGAACGCTAGTGTATTAATCCCCGTCCCAGGAAAAGCCGGGGTACACCATACAAACATGATATAAAAGACACATCTTTATTATATCGATAATATTTACATTATTACAAAGGCACTTAAGGCCTGACAATCAAAAATAAACAGCAGCGGACTAGCGGGCCTACGGCTCCATTTTCACAGGCGCTCAACTGGGGTATAAGCCAGGACTCCACCTAAGACTTCTTCTCCAAAGCTTCTCTTACTGAAGGGGGAAAAGATTGAGCAAGAATGAGTACAACCACAGTACTCAGCAAGCCACACCGGCGGATGCATGATTAATGCAAGGGGGTACAAGGGGTAATAATATAGGGGTTAAGCTTTGCAGAAAACAGCATTTAAAAGTCACTTAGTTGCCCAAAGCCATTTTAAAAAGACGATCCTAGAGCTACACAGTGTTATTAATCAAGGCCGTGAACCCTCACGAACCTGCCTTAACCCAAGGCCTACGATGATTCAGACCGAACTGGCGACCCGACCCTGGGTCCCAGCTCGTCCCAAGCCAACCCAGGCCAACCATTCCACATTTTAGTTGTTAAGCAGATTTTAAGAATTAAAACACTAACTTGGGTACATTGCTCGGCTTGCCCATAACCGAGGGCGCGGCTATTCGAATAGATTATACTCTGATCAGAGGTGTACATCTTTACCCACAAGACACATCTTCCTCACGTGTAACCACGTGCCACATACCACCACGGTATACGGACGGAAGACGTGACATAGTTTCCAACCCATCCTAGCCATAGACAAGAGTACCGACCCAACCCCACCTACGGCCGGAACCCCCGGGACAGGCAGGCAGGATTGAGCCCCCTAGCAGCAGGACACCAGCCCTGTGCCATGACATCTCGACTACCGGGCCGCAGCTCGTGTAGCCTTCATTTGTCCTGGAGAATGTCCATCGACCCCCGACTTCATCCATCTCCAATCCGTGTACTTTTGTTTATAACCAGACTGAGCCACAAACTAAGCCTTACCCACTAGACATGTGGAAGTACGGTAGTGCTTTGCAACAGAGGCCCGAGCTTAATCCTTATAGTGGCCGGGGTGCTACTTCCCACAACTGGCATGCACCTAAACCCCACCGGAAAACAGATTTTAGGGGCTTTGAAAGAGGAAGAGAGGGGTATGTCCAATTCTACCATAATCCAACAATTCCATAGTGTCCAGGTGATATGAATATTCCCAAGGTCTAAAGTTATAAAACCACCTAATGTTGCCTAATTAATCAGCGAAGCATCTACCTAAATTCATACTAGTGGAACCATGAATAGAGTACCCACTAGTTGGGGTTTTGTTTATCCTAG